TTAGTTGAAGGTTTTAGGATAGGTCTCACAAATCCTACCAACTGACAATTAAAATTGTAAAATCATAAAGGATTGCCCATCAGCTATTTCAAGTTAAAGAAAGTCTTAAAGAGATTTGTGAATGTGGTGTGTGGCTTCTGTATGATAGAGTGAATTCCCAATAAGGTTCACAAGAGATCCTAAAATAATTTAAATGAATTAGATTAACAGAAAGACTTTGTAGTTAGCCTTAAAGGGAAAGTGGCAGTGCAAAATTAAAAGAGGCTTTTGGATACCGATGTCTACAAGCACAAATAAGGAGAAAACTGTTCAGCTGTAAATATGTGCTAATTTTACACAAAAAGAAAGAATGGCTAGGAGAGTAGAAATGAGAATATAGAGGGAGGAACCAAAAACCATGGAGAATTATTCTCAGGCTTTAAGCTCTAATCAAGAAACCGCTAACCTATGCATTAATTCACAGCCTTCAAATGAAGAACTGTTCTTGAGTCACTGTACTTAAGCCCCATCTACCACTGCACATGCTTTACATGACAAGATTCTGTACTTTCAGCTGATGCCATAATGGAATGATTCTTTGGGTGGCTTTAGGAGGGCGTTAGTGTACTTTGTACTGGGAGAGATGCATCTCTGGGGGCCAGACAGGAGAATGTGGTAGCGAGCCTCCAGGAAGAGCTGCAATGTCCCCCACCTCCTCATCACCAGACCTTCGTGCAGTGCCTTCCCTTGCCGAATCAAGGCTGTTGCTGTCATCAATATATAAATTTCACAAAAGTGATGATCTGTTACTCCTGAGACTAGGTTGTAAAAGAACAGAGCAAACTAAAAGGAAACTTTATAACAGAAACTATCTCCATAGATATTAAACAGCCTTTTTTTAATAGGTAATGGAACCTTGTTTTAAATCATTAACAAGAGGAAAATTCACCTTTGCTATAGTCACTTCTTCTACCAGTAATACTAAAGAATAAAGTGTCAGGATAATTTCTAAATGACCTAAGTCATTTTTTTTTTAATAAAGGAGTTGATGTTTGTGCTGTCTGTGGCTGATGGGGATATATATGTGCATTTTAATAATAGCAACTGATCTTCAAAGAAGGAGTGCAAAATTAGTGTGTGAGGTTTCATTCAGATTATTCACACCTGATCCATCTTAAAATCAAAAGATGTCAACTGAGTGCCATTAGGAAAAATTTCAAATAAGAGCATTTTCTAGCATGATATATTAAACTCATTAATTACCTTTTTACCTTAAAATCACACAATTGGGTTCTTCTGTAGTTAAAAATAATCTGCATATTAAAGTAAGACTATGCATCATAAAAATAAGTTCATAAAATAGAAATAAATACTATTGTTCTATATTAAAAAGATGTTTTTAATATAAAATAAATAGTTGGTATTCAACTCAAATATAGTAATGAAATGTGAAATGCCATTGAAAATTCATAGTTTAAGCAATATTTCAATAAACCATTTTATTTAAAGGCATCAAGTATGAATGAATCTCTTATTACTAGAACTCTTGTCTAAGTTAACCATAATATTGCTTTTCTTGTTGTCCATAAAAAATTTGAGACTCACTGCTCTCTGAATGGGTTTAAAAAAAACAGATGTAATTATTTCTCATCGTACATCAGCTTTAAAAAGAAATTCCTTTTAGTTTCTTCAAATACTTTTTCATGAAGAAAAACAGGTAAGGATAAAACACATAAGTAAAAAAATAATCTCACTATATTCTGAACATTGTCTTCATAGTGAATATAACTAAATAGCTTTCAATTATAAAACCGAGGACTCTAGGACAGCCTCCTGGCTCTTTCTGTCAGTTCTTCTACTTCCTTTTATTTGTATTAATTTTTTTAAATTAAAATCTAGACCAAAGAGAGAAGCAGAAAGCTGAATAGTTGAATGTTACCAACTTTAAGATTAATATCTTATTTTTATTGTATTTTTCCATTACCATTTAGTCCTCTCTTATCTCCCTCCCCACCACAATCACTGCACTGTTGTCCATGTTCATGAGTCCTTTTTCCTTTTTGCTCAATCCCTCCAACCCCTTCCTTCCCTGCCTTAGCTGTCATCCTGCTCTCTATCTATGAATCTGTCTCTATTTTGCTTATTAGTTCAGTTTGTTCATTAGATTTCATATATGAGTGAAATCATATGCCATTTGTCTTTCTCCAACTGGCTTATTTCACTGAGCATAATGCTCTCCAGGTCCATCCATGCTGCAGCAAAGGATAAAACTTTTTTTTTTTTTTACAGCCAAGTAGTATTCCATTGTAAAAATATCTCATATCATAGTAGATGAGTTGTTTTATCCACTCATCTACTGATGGACACTTGGGCTGCTTCCATAGCTTGGGAGATTTTAAATAATGTTGCAATGAACATAGGGGTGCTTATGTTCTTTTGAACTAGTGTTTTGGGTTTCTTTGGATATATTGCCAGAAGTGGGATCATGGGGTCAAAAGCCAGATCCCATTTTTAGTTTTTGAGGTATCTCCACACTGCTTTCCGCAGTGCCTGCACCAATCTGCATTCCCACCTACAGTGCAAAACAGTTCTACTTTCTCCACATCCTTGCGGCAGTTGTTTATTGATTTATTGATGATCTTTTAATATAACAACTGTTATTAAGTTTGCCTTGTTCAAAGAGGTTCAGACTGCATGTTAAGTCAAAGGTCAGATTCCACAAGTGTAGGAAAATGCTTACGTTCTCAGTGTAGAAACAAAATAGTCATCAGATAATGGTATGCTGGTAAATATATAACAAAAGGTTCACCAAAAATTAAATGCCCTAATTTATAGTGTTTGCCAATTTCTGTGGCATAATACTCCCATGTGACTGATTTAAAGGTACCAAAATGGCCTAACCAAATCTACAATTGGGAAATATGCATAGTAGCTATTATATAGAATTTCTACATATACATCCAATAGATACAAATAAGCTCATAAATATAGTTAATAGTAAAATATATTACAATAAATAGAAAAATGAGTTTTGAGTTTTGGTTATACTTTTAAAAATATAATTTGTTTCATTATAAGTGTTTGTAATTTAATTTTCTATGCCTGTGCTTAACTGCTAGCTCTTAAAATTCCTGAAATTCTAAAGTGATCAAGTGTAAGCACACCAGTCCTGCACATCACTGTGTATATTCCAGACAAAAAGACCACCCAGTAATTGTAACCGGTATGAAACGTGGAGATCTCTTCCAGTTTTTGCTTTAAATGGCTGATAACATGTGACTGAATGTCCTCAATAGTCTGTTGAAATCATTTCTCATAGATATCCTCTTCTCTTCCTGATTCCATTGTGGCCTCTAGTGGTAGCAGCTAGCATTCTTATTATTATCAAAGTGTTACAAAAGCAGTTATCAGTGATTATCATTGCAAGGTTAGCCATAACATTATTGATTTCTCTTTTCACACTGTTTTTAAGTATCTCCTATCAACAAAAAGAAATCAAGTGAATGACAATGGCATATGATAAAAATTCACTAAATTGGAAGTCAGAAATTGGAGACAGTTGTCTTGAATTCTAATGCATACACTTTTTATAAAAATCCCCCACAGAAAATAACTGGAGTAATTATAAAAATAAAACCATAACACACTTGAATCTAAAGAACAGCTGACTCCTGGACATAAAGGTAAAAGGATGCCTTATGCACTTTCCTGACTCGATCATCATCTATCAGGGTGTCCGACCGGCAGCCCGCAGGCCCCGGATGGCCCAGGGTGGCTACGGATGTGGCCTGACACAAAGTCATAAACTTACTTAAAACATTATGAGCCGTTTTTGTTTTTGTTTGTGTTTGTGTATTTAATGTGTGGCCCAAGACAACTATTCTTCTTCCAATGTGGCTCAGAGATGACTAAGGTTTGGACACCCCTTAAAATGAGCATAGGCTGTAGGGGGCAACCGTAGTCAACAGGGAAGAATCAGTCAAACATTCAGATTACATTTGCTGGATTGATTTTTACTGATACTAAATGACTAAACTTTTACTGTGTCATGTAAATAAAGCCTCAGTATCTTTAAAGTGAAGTTCATTTAATATGTTTTTATTTAGCTTTATAATAGCATATAAACACAGCAGCTGATGCCTATTTATTTTTACCTGATTTTTTTCCCCAGGCTTGGTACCTGAGAAAAAATTGTTCTTTTTCAAGTCCTTCATAGAATATTAAAATTTTAGAGCCGAAGAATACCTCTAAAGCAGAACTCCAAATCCTTCATTTAATATATGAGACAAGCTAAACTCCAAGAGGATATCTGATCCCTGCCCAGTGTCATGCAGTTAATTAGTACTATTAGGTAGGGTAGATAGCAACCAAGGCAGGGAGGAGGGGGGAGACAGGTCTCACCCACTGACTCAGCCACCCTGTGCCTGGCCCAGTAATCTCGCCAGGTGCTCCAACACCACAGGAAACACCACGCTAACATGGGAGGAGGGCAGTCCTTGGAATTCTATTCATTGTCTCCACTATCTGGGAAAGAAAGCCTTTGAAACTGTGCTTTCATCCCAAGGCCTGAAAGGCTGGAAAGGGACCATAGTGCCCAAAAGATGAAGCCCATAGACACTTTTGGGTATTCACACCCACCAAAAGCTGGTACCACAATTTGTGCCAGCTATGTAAGTCCTCAGAACAGAGGACTGTAGGACTTGGTGCTCTTGTATCCCTGGCCACCCAACCATAGACCACCTGACCTCAGGTTACCTGGCCTCTGACTACCCTTCTTTGCCCTGAACCTACTCCCCAGGCACCTTAATGAGGCCCCCTCTCTCCCGTGAGAATGGATCACCAATAAACCCTGCCTGCATGCTAATGGACTCACTGATCTGTAGTGCTTTACTGCATTGGCAAGAAGAATGGAGTTTCTGGGAGTCTCTTCCGTAACAATAACAGAACCCAGGACTAAACAGGCCTACGGATTTCACTGTCAAACAGCAATGAAGGACATTAATCTTAGAATAAACCATTACCTCTTGAAGAACTCTCTTCATCTTTAATAATAATGTCTTGACGGCTGTGCAGTCCTGTAACATCAGTCTGAATGGCAGAGAATCTATGCCTCCATTTTCTTCTACACCTTGCAGGGGCCAATCTGCGGATGGACTGCTGGGCATGCGGCTAATATGGGAACACCTGGCTTCCTGATCAATGTCTTTTGTTAATTTCAGTGAAAGGTTCCTGATAAAAACAATAAACAAAAATTACAATGTAACATATTCACAGCAGTATTTTCCAAGTTGTCCATCAATGTCAGTAGTGAGCCAAAAAAACATTGCCTTCTGACCCTCACATTTCCAATTAGTCTTTGTAACATAATCCTTTGTAATACTGTATACATACAACTCTTACTTGTACAAAGAAATTTTTCTGTAAGGTGAGTTGTTAGGTATTACAGGGTTGTTTCCCATAGTTCAACATTCCCCACCACTCCAAAAAAAATAATTAAGCTAACGTTCTGTAATTCTTTTTACTTAGACTGCTTTTTTTATTTTTTAAACCATTGGTTTAATCGTGAATCTAAACATCAGTGAAGACTGACAAAGCTTTCAGAAACCCTACTAATGTGAAGTTCAATACTAGTTTCAGGAATTTACTGAGACTCTGAGAATTATAATTTAACATTTACAAATCCAAATATCTCTACTACTTTCACATAGTTAAGAATGGGCTACACACAGCAATGAAATGAGACAATAAATTTAGCCATTTGCTTTTCACTTGAAAATTTGATTCTATTCTTAATTCCAAGAGGACAGAATGATGGTATATTTTCGATGGAAAACATTTACATTGTGTCATTGTGTCTAGCACAGCAACAGTTGCTGAAGATTCAAAGATTAATGGGATTGGGTCACTGACCTTAAGAGTCTCACCAGAATTATTAACTTCTTAGTAGTTGATGCAAAAAAAATAACTTTCACATGAACTTTTTATCTCAAAACATTTTATTTCTCCATGGAAGATAGCTGGCTACAAGCTAACAGTAATCAAAGCCATTCTTAATTTGGCTGAGGCAATAAAATGGGCTATCAAACAGGGCTCCTATTTAGCAGCACTGGCCAGCACCGCCCACCTGCTCTATGCATATGGTCACTGTATTTCTGATTGATTAATGCCTATGATTTACAATTGTTAAATATTTTGAATATTGATGTTTTTCACAATAGACCTTTATTGGGCCAAAATTACCAGAGTGTTTCTGGATAAATTCACCTAAAGAAAAAAAATCCAGTGGGGAAGGATTGAGGGTGGGAGTTGGGGGTGGGTGGGGCGGAGGAAAGTGGTGGTGGGAAAATGGAAACAAATGTATTTGAACAATAAAAATAAAGAAAGAAAGAAATAATAAAATAATCCATCCCCGTAGTTGACAAGAAAAGGAGAAAAATCACTAATGCGGAGCCATGGTTTCCTCTAGCACAGACAACCCATAATAAACCAGAGGGTAGAGCTAGGTTCAGGTCCTTTTTTGTTCCTGCGTAAGTAGAATTCGCCACATACTACAATTAGGTACTTGGGATGCATGGCTCTCTGTCTGCCAACTCTGAATTGTTATAATTTCAGGAAATTAAACAAATGTTCTTTATATCAAAAAAGATAGTCCTTTAAGTTGTCAAAAAACAAAAAGTTAGATACTGAGGACTGAAACAGTGGTTCATTAATCATCATAACTATTGCAAATAAAAACAAAGATAATGTAGTCACCACTGAGCTCATTATACACAGTTTTCCCTCTCTGTTTTAACTCCTTGAATCTTCCACAAAATTGTTTAGTGGTATTTACACTTGTCCCTTTGCTTATGATGCTGACCAAACCTTTAAAATTCTGTAACATTTAGATAAAGTCAAACTGAGACTTAGGGGTCTTTCTCCATCCAAAGTACCAAAACAACAAAGGTTTTGAGTAAGATTAAAATCAAAACTCATAAATGTTATATTAAATATATTCTTGAAAAGTTTCAACTTGAAAATCTTGAGAGTTTGAAGCATTTCTTAAAACATATAATGTACAGTACACTGGTGAATTGGCCCTGTACTTTTCTCACTATACTTTGCGTGAAAGGAATTTTGTACCAAGGTAGTTCAAAAGTTCTGCTGCAATTCTATTTTCAGTATGACAGACAAGCTTAATGGATATATATAATGGGTATTATATATATATATATATGAGAAATATATCCATTATATACATACACACACATACTGTAGAGTAATTAAATGGCTTTTTCTTACAAAGGAGAAAAATAAAAGAGTATTTTCATATTTTCTCGTTTCGTTATAACTAGCACTATCATTTTAATACTGAGAAAAATTTTTCCCATCTACACGTACTTTTCAAATCATTTGAAAAGAATGGCCAAAACACAAGATCATGCTAGTTGCCAAGGACTGATGCTCTCAGTTGTCTGTGATAGGGGCTACTCCGGAGGCGGCGCCCTGACACCTTTCATTATAGTAAATATCTATGGCCATACGGGATCTCAAAGATTTACACTTTTTAATGTGGCTATAATTTCTGAATCAGATTGCCAAAGAGTAGAGATAAAAAAAATCTCTAATTGCCCTGCATAATAATAAATAAGCACATGCAAACATCTGCCTTCAAAAGCTTTATTAAGTAGATTTTCAAAAAGGGCGAGGTTATTTAAGGTATATTAAATCTTAGCTTGAATAATTCTAAAACAGGCACAAAGATATACATCTGTATGAATAAACTGGTATCCCATAACCTAATAAAAACTGTCTGTTAAAGGAAATACAAAAAAGCCTATCATTGATAAATAAGCTGTCTATTTTTCTCAGATTTTCTATAAAAATATATTGCTTATCTGAAAGTGTCACTTTAGGAAAAAACCTCGTACCTCAAATTGTTTTATAATTGGGGATTTAGCTATATTTTTAGAAAGGATGGAACCAGCATCCATCCCTCTACAGGGCCTCCACAGTAGTATAGCGGTTGTATATTATACAAGTATACAAATATACTTTATATTTATATACGAATATATGTGTAAGAGAATTTAACTACCTGAACTAATGGAAAGAGGAAAGGCAATATATGGGGGAAGGCAAAATAAAATCTAAATATCTTAACATAGTCAACAAAGTCCTTCATAATCTAGCATCTGTCTGCCTTACCATATCTCATTTTAAAACAACTGCCTCCTTGTTTTTTGACTTTCAATTTCAATGGCCTTCATTCAGGCCCTGAAGTGTGCCAAGCTCCACCCTTTCTCAAATTTCACATATGATATTCTATCTGCATGAAAGTGTTGCTTATCCATCTTCAGATCTCACCTTAAAATAATCTCTTCTTCAGGGAAACCTCCTTTGCATCTCTACCCTTCACGCATACACAGGTTCCTCTTTTCTATGCTAAGCCTTTCTTGGTAGCATTTATCACAGATGCAGTTAAAAAATTAATTTGAGCAGACCTCTGGGAATTCATTGGACTGAGCTGACCTACACTTCATCTCCTGTTCCAAATACAGAGAAATACTGGACAGTTTATAACCTCATTTATTTTTAAACATATTACAGTGCATGATAGAAAGACAGGAACATTTCCAGGTGCCAAAAGCAGAAAATCAAAACAGCAACAATTATATGAGTTGGCACCGTGGTGGTCTCAGGGTGTTAAACTTGGTTATGGTCTGTAAAAACAGAAGCTGCGGTTTTTATGCCTATGCAGATACAGAGAATCCCTGCCGAAGACCAAGAAGTAGACTGGTGCTGGGGCACATGAGCACCCCAAACTTTAAAAAAGCTTCAAAAATCAATCTGATCAATTTGTAAATTAACTGCCTGCTAGAACAACACTCTTTTTTGTTTCTCTAAAGGAAGACACTATAAAATTCAGATTCTCAAAAACATAACATCCACAATGTCTGACAAAATTTCAAGTGAACAGACATGCAATGAAACAAAAAACAATTCAAAGACACCATGAGATGACCCATATATTAAAATTAGCAGACAAGAATTTCAAACAACTATTTTCAATATGTTCAGAGTCTTAAAAGAAAAAGGGGACATAAATAAATAGATAGTTAATCTCGTCAGAGAAATAAAAACTATAAAAAATTCCAGAAACAATTGATATAACTTCTGAGACAAAAAATATTTATACTCTGGCAGACTCTGGCAGACGTTGTTAGCTGGCTGCCCACTATTCATTCAAATCTCCTTCCTGCTTCTTTAAAACAAAAACAAAATCAAAATAAAAAACAGGAAACACTCTAATTTGATTAAGTGCTGCTTCTCCTATGGCTTTAAGAATTAACAAGAAATTTGGTGGGGGCCTTCAAGGAAATAATTGATAAGCAGAGACACAGGAAAGAGACAGCTGTCTTTCCTGTAGATGCTGCTTTAATTTGATGGACTGCTTGCAACTATTGATGTACTCTGCAAATAGGAAGAGACTCAGCTGTGGGAAAACTGAAGGAGAAAACATCAGCTACATCTGCCTTCTTAATGATGCCATTTCTCTACATTAACCAACACTGAGGACTTACTACCTCCACATACCTTGTCAGAAAAGGTAACATAGTTTTTAACTCAAGCTGACAGCACTCTAATTAGTATAACTACTAAAAAATATATTCCAATAAGGACATTAAACCTAGAAATAAAACTAAGATAACAATTCATTGTTTAAGTGTTTGTTTAATGGCTATATTTGAGACATGTTCCAAGGAAATAAGAATAGTACTTTTCTTCCTTGTTCATTAATGTATCCACTAGAACTTTCACAATTGTGTGATGCTCGTATCAACAGAATAATCAAATTTAATATGAGAAAAAAACACTATAGTCCACGTAATTTAACATCCTTATTTAATAGATGAGGAAAGCCAAACCTAAATTGATTTTCTTAGTGTCACACAGCCACCAGATGCAGAATTCTGATCTCCTGACTTGTAGTCCAGCATTCTTTTCTCCATATTGAATCATCTTGTTAGGTAGCAATGAGGAATGAGCAGCCAGAGGGGAAATAAAGGCAGGGCCTTGCCATTACAATCTAACAAAGAACCTACTACCTGACGCTGGAAGCAAAAGGAAGACCTGTCTCCCCAATTCCCTCAGCAGTCCTGAGCTCGGGTTGGTAAGATGGCAGGGTGTCCCGAGAATTGCAAACGGAAAAGCACAGGAGGAGGGGAGAGTCCTCAAAGCTGTGCCGA